CTGTTGACAGGATTTCCGGATGTTTTAGGTGCAGGAACCTTGAAGGCTGAAGCAGCTGATGATGGCCTATTTCCATCCACTGATTCTTCATCATCAAAGCTTTTATCTGTACAAAGCATTAGCAAAATGTATCTTAAGAAATCTAAGCTTTGCTCCATTTTCCATAAGGCTCAAAAAACAAATAAAGCCACATATAAAATCATAACTTTGTGAGATATATAATACAAAATAAAGCTTCTTTGAATAAGCATTTATATAATGGCTAACACTATATAAAATAACAAAGTGTGATTTAAAATCAGATTGCAGTATTACCATATTTACTACCTATATCTATAAAGTCAAAACATAAAACCAAATATATTAACTCTAAAGACAGAAAAAGCGTTTTTCCTTTTTTACTACTAATAAGCATTTTCTGCCAGCTCCTCCATAGTGCATCTTCCAGCACACCCTGCCTTAGTCCTTACACCCAGATTCTGCAACTTACAATCACAGATCCGTTTGCAAATCAGTCGCCTCATTCCTCTGAAAGCTCTTAATTTTCCTCACCCTAGGATGCTCCCAATGGTTCACATGGCCAAATGCAGTAGATTTGAGACTAATCAAAGATTCTATCAAAAACAGATAGAAACAACCACAGAACCACCACTGAGGTTTGTGCCGGCATTTTTTCTTTCTCTTCCCTGCACTAGGTACTGTAACAGCCAATCAGCTATAAGGTGACATCATCTTATGGCAGCTACTGCTAGATGAAAGGTAAAAATTCTCCATGTATTTTAAAAATCTCTTTGCAGCTGCAATCCTTATTCTGTATCAAAATTTCAAAGGCATTCAATACTATAGGTTTATAAACCTAAATTTGTATTCTCTTATTTAGCTTACTTGAAAATTTATACAATTAGAAAATAAGATTTTATGCAATATTCATTCTGTTGATGTGCTTATTATTGCATCATTAAACCATAGAATATCACAGTGTTCATTAGTGTACCTAATTAACTCTGTAATCTAACAATTTGCTGTTTATTTAGGTCACAGAAACCAAACTAAACAATTTGTTCTCATAAATGATTCAAAAATATTCCATAAAGTTCCTTTTATAATCTTCATGAAGGACCACACTAGTATCATCTCCGAGTATAAAATGAAACACCCCCACTTCCACCCCCACCCCCACAAGGTATATGCATTTTATTCGTCGGAGAAGATGGTTTTCTCTAGGACCCTGCACAATCCAACCAGGACAAACAAGATGGGCGAGGCAGAGAGGCAGCTTTACCACAGGCTTCAGATCAATATGCCAGAATCTTTCCCTTTCAATCCGCTTCCCTTACCTATGCAAATACCCAAATCAAGGAGGAATAATCATCCTTTTAATCTTAAATATATATTTAAAGGAAATACACCAAACACATGTTAAAAAACTGTTTAATTAAAACAAGAGAGTCAAATAGACAACCTAATATAAAGCCACATTCCATTTCAGCAAGTGTTTTCCTTAAATAGCACAACTTGTAGGAAAAAAGTACCTTCTAGTTCAGGTGGGGAAGGTCTAGCCCGCAGGCCATATAAGGCCTGCAAAATCATTTGGTCTGGCCCTGACAAGGCAACTGCAAGTGGGACTCAAAATTCAATAAATCTAGGAGCTTTTTTCATCGAAACATAAATTTATATTAAGTGAATTATATTAAGCGAATGATGTTATAAACATCCAAATGACTCTTGGCAGAAAAAAGATTCCCCACTCTTGTTCTAGTTAAACAATATATTTTTCTTTCTTAGCATAATATTGTAAGGTAGCCAGTGTGGATCGCTTAAAACCTGTGTTCTATGTAGACTGCTGTGTTAAAAACACTAATACAATTCCAAATAAACTTTTTTTTTGGCCACCACCATCATGTAAAAAATGTAGCTAAGAGAGACAGCAGACACACAAATCTAAGGAAAGATGAGTATTGAAACAAAGTAGCCAGAGGTTCCCATGGAAACAGTGCTCTCTTCCTACAAACACACAAGAATTTAAGAGAGTAAATGTCTCTACTATTTTAAAAAAATTAACTCTTAAGATTCTCAAGCTACTGAGAAATTGGTTTTTAACTTATCAAAATAAGGCCAAGAAAATATACAAATTATAACTATGCAGCTCAATTAATTTTCACAAAATGAACATTCCAATGTAACCAGTCTCCAGAATAGATCATTATCAGCATCCTGTGAGCACCCTCACTGAACCGCCAAAATTCACCAGTTCCTACTGAAGTAAACTGGTCTTGCCTTTTAACACCATAGTTTGTTTTACCCATCTGTGAACTTGATATAAAAGGAATCACACAATAGGTACTCTGGTACCTGGCTTCTTTTCACTCAATATAATGTTTGAAATATTCATTTCATTACTTATAGTTTTCTACTATATGAATGTATCGCAATTTATTAATATCCATTCTACTATTGATTGACATTTGAGTTGTTGCCAGTTTTAGATGAATTCAAAGATGTATATGGCAACCTCTAGAGCAGTGGTACTCAAAGTGTGGTCCAGGACCAGCAGCTGAGCATCACCTGGCAATCTATCAGAAATGAAATTCTTGGACCCTAACCCAAATCTTCTGAACCATAAACTCTGGAGAAAGAGGCCCAGCAGTATTAACAAGACCTCTTAGTGATTGGTGTAAGCATGACCAAATTGAAGGGTCACTGCCCTACAGCAGGAGTTGGCAAACTTAAGTCTATAAAAGGCAGACAATAAATGTTTTAGGCTTTACAAACCATATGACTGTATATGTAGTGTCTCTGTGCAACCACTCAATTAGACCACTGCAGTGCCAAAGTAGTGATACACGATATGTAAGCAAATAGGTGTGGCTGTGTTTCAATAAAACTGTATGTATGAAACAGGAGGGCATCTGGATTTAGCCTGCAAGAAATAGTTTGCCAATCCCTACTCTAAAACAACCACTAAAATAAGAGTAAATAAATAAACTAATAAAAAACTAAAATAATTTTAAAAAATTGAATAGTTAAGAAGTAGGAAAGAAGACAAAAAAGCTAAAACAAGTAGATAAAATAAAAGATAAAGTAGCAAAAATAAAACCAGGTATGCAATAACTACTTAAATGTAAATTAACTAAATATTCCCAGTAAAAGACCAAGACATAATTTTTAAAATAGGTTGCTTAAACAAAATATATTTTACATATAAGGTCACATTAAAATAAAAAATGAGAGACAGACCATGGCAAACACCAACCAAAAGAAAGCTGGTATAGCTACACCAACTTCAAACAAGCAGCTTGAAGAAGCACTATAGAGATAAAGAGAGACTTTGAATAATGATAAAGGAGTAAATCCAGAACCCTAAATCAGGACCCTACATTTTTATGAACCAGTACACAGCTTCAAATACATAAAGCAAAAAAAATGAAGAACTAAAAATAAATAAATAGGCAAATCTATAACCATAGAGGGCAATGAAGTTTTACCCACTCCCAATAAAGTTATATCTTTTTAGTCTATAAGCTAAGAAAATTTGTATAACTATATCATCACAAGCCCCCAACTAAAATTTTGTAAATTATTCAGAGGTTCTAAATATTCTAGACTTAAAAATATTTTCTTTTTATGTCATTATCTTTTAATGTATTAAAAGAAATACCAAGTCTGTATTAAATCTCAGGAACTTATTTAAATTATTTTTATAATCTATATACTAAAATAAATCTGTTATTTTTGAGTAAGGGTTCAGGCATACAAGACAAGAATATATACCTTTGCCGAAACCGGTTTGGCTCAGTGGATAGAGCATCAGCCTGCAGACTGAAAGATCCCGGGTTCGATTCCGGTCAAGGGCATGTACCTGGGTTGCAGGCACATCCCCAGTAGGAGATGTGCAGGAGGCAGCTGATCGATGTTTCTCTCTCATTGATGTTTCTAACTATCTCTCTCCCTTCCTCCTGTAAAAAATCAATAAAATAAAAAAAACAACAACCTTAAATGGTGTTTTATTGATCTTTTACAGAGAGGAAGGGAGAAGGAAAGAGTTAGAAACATTGAATGAGAGAGAAACATCGATCAGCTGCCTCCTGCACACCCCCTACTGGGGATGTGCCTGCAACCCAGGTACATGCCCTTGACCGGAATCGAACCCGGGACCCTTCAGTCTGCAGGTTGATACTCTCTCCACTGAGCCACACCAGTCAAGGCTAAAAATATTTTCTTAATAACTATAAAATATCAGAACAAATCAGTTTTATTTTTTCCTAGCACCTCTCACTTCCTGAAATACTTTTATGAGTGAACTAGAAGTTGCACTGGAAATGGACAGAACTTTTTCTTATTTATGCTATAATCCCATTATATACAACAATCCTGGGATAACTGTCATAGCTAACTCTTGTTCCTGCTTCCTACCCTTTCCCGCAGAATTTATTCTCAGCATAATGTGCTGTGAGTTGAACAAAGTCATGTCACACTGCTTCTCAAAATCCTCCTATGACTCCATAAAAGGCCTACCAGGATCCAAGATCTACAAGATCTTAGGTCTCTCTAACCTCATCTTCTACTCACTATCCAGCTTTCTCTCCAATCCAGCTTCACCAATGTCATTGCTGTGACTCCTATCAGGTTCTCTATACATGTTCCCTTTGCCTAGAATACCCTTCCGCCTCTTAGCCACACTGTTTACTCACCTCCTTCAAACTCACTTCCTTCAAATCTTTACTGATCTATTACTTTCTCAAACAGGTTTCTCCAGATGATAAAATTGTAAAGCTTCCAAAATTCTGACACTACTTCCATCCTTTATTTCTCTCCCTAGTACTTACCATTTATATATTTTACTTACTTTGGTTATTATTTCTCTCCTCCTACTGAAATGTATTGTCTATTAGGGTGAGAACTTCTGTCTATTTTGCCAGTTGCCATGTCTCCAGCACGTGGAACAAGCTCAGAAGGACACATTTCATAGTAGGGAGAATTTTGGCTCCACTAAAAGCGTTACTAGGTTATTTGAAACAAAACTCCAAAGGCAAACAAACTATAACCATTTTTAAAATATCTCCTGATAAACAATAAAAATACCTAAAATACTAATAAATATAAGAA